CAGCCACAGCATGCCCCCCACCCAAATACCCAGCCACAGTATGCCCACCACCCAAATAATACCCAGCCACAGCATGCCCCCCACCCAAATAATACCCAGCCACAGCATGCCCCCACCCAAATAATACCCAGCCACAGCATGCCCCCCAATAATACGCATGTCTTAGCCTCACTTAGACATAACCCAGTGAGTGGCAGGGATCCATGCATGCCCAGCCTCGCTCAGACATAACCCAGTGTGCGCCAAGGAGCAATGCATGCCCAGCCTCGCTCAGACATAACCCAGTGTGCGCCAAGGAGCAATGCATGCCCAGCCTCGCTCAGACATAACCCAGTGTGTGCCATGGAGCAATGCATGCCCAGCCTCGCACAGACAGAACCCAGTGTGTGCCAAGGAGCAATGCATGCCCAGCCTTGCTCAGACAGAACCCAGAGTGTGCCAGGGGCCCATGCATGCCCAGCCTCTCTGACATAACCTATAATGCTGTGCGTGCCAGGGCAGAGGGCATACATACTGTGCATCACCCAGACACTTACATTAATGAAATAACTTGTAAAGTGTAAGCTGCTGCATAGTTATCCCATCTTTATTGCTTTCTCACTTCTTGCGCATGGTTTCTAACCCTTTCAGTGCCAGAGTGCTTTCGCCTAATTTTACTGTAAGTGATGTAGACATTTCTTTGTTTCACTCCCATACGCTCGTCTAATGCTTTGATCCTAGGTTTCAACCTATTCACTGCCAGATGGTTGGCTTTGGCAATGAAAGAGTTAATCTTGCGGCCTAGTGCTGGAGCCAGAACCTCCTCTGTTTACAAGACTGGGACAGAGTGGACTTTGTATTTTGTAAGAAAGGGGAGGAGTGCAGGTAGGCTGCTTACCTGAGCTTCAAAACCACAAGAATGCCACTATGATTCTGGGCCTGTGATAGCTCTGGGTTTATTAAGCTCTGAATTGAAAGTGTGACTATTATTTATATGTGTGTGTGTGTGTGTGTATATATATATATATATAATCTCTATCTCTCTCTCTCCAAATTCTAGATGATTTTCTTATAGTTCGGGGGGCGGCACAAGTTTAAGAACTTGATTTTAATATTCTCCCAGACAGAAACAATTAAATCCTTAACATAATTCATCAACCCGCAACTAACCGTGTGTGGTCTCAGTATAAAGTCAGGTAGTAGCTAGCTGTGGTCTCAGTAGGTTATACTGGGACCACGGCTAGCTCCCGAGAAGGTTATACTGGGACCATGGCTAGCTCCCGAGAAGGTTATACTGGGACCACGGCTAGCTCCCGAGAAGGTTATACTGGGACCACGGCTAGCTCCCGAGTAGGTTATACTGGGACCACGGTAAGCTCCCGAGAAGGTTCTACTGGCTACCTCCTCATTTACTTTTGCTTAGGAGATCGCTGCAGTCGTAAAAAGTAAATGAGGAGGTAGCCAGTATAACCTCCTCGGGAGCTAGCCGTGGGCCCAGTATCATGTCAATGAGGATCTAGCTGTGGTGCCAGTATAACATTTCTTAGGAGCTAGCCGTGGTCCCAGTATAACCTTCTCGGGAGCTAGCCGTGGTCCCAGTATAACCTTCTCGGGAGCTAGCCGTGGTCCCAGTATCATGTCAATGAGGAGCTAGCCGTGGTGCCAGTATCATGTCAATGAGGAGCTAGCTGTGGTGCCAGTATAACCTCCTCAGGAGCTAGCCGTGGTGCCAGTATCATGTCAATGAGGATCTAGCTGTGGTGCCAGTATAACATTTTAGTAGCTAGCCATGGTCCCAGTATAACCTCCTCGGGAGCTAGCCGTGGTCCCAGTATAACCTCCTCGGGAGCTAGCCGTGGTCCTAGTATAACCTCCTCGGGAACTAGCCGTGGTCCTAGTATAACCTCCTCGGGAGCTAGCCGTGGTCCCAGTATAACCTCCTCGGGAGCTAGCCGTGGTCCCAGTATAACCTCCTCGGGAGCTAGCCGTGGTCCCAGTATAACCTCCTCGGGAGCTAGCCGTGGTCCCAGTATAACCTCCTCGGGAGCTAGCCGTGGTCCCAGTATAACCTCCTCGGGAGCTAGCCGTGGTCCCAGTATAACCTCCTCGGGAGCTAGCCGTGGTCCCAGTATAACCTCCTCGGGAGCTAGCCGTGGTCCCAGTATAACCTCCTCGGGAGCTAGCCGTGGTCCCAGTATAACCTCCTCGGGTGCTAGCCGTGGTCCCAGTATAACCTCCTCGGGAGCTAGCCGTGGTCCCAGTATAACCTCCTCGGGAGCTAGCCGTGGTCCCAGTATAACCTCCTCGGGAGCTAGCCGTGGTCCCAGTATAACCTCCTCGGGAGCTAGCCGTGGTCCCAGTATAACCTCCTCGGGAGCTAGCCGTGGTCCCAGTATAACCTCCTCGGGAGCTAGCCGTGGTCCCAGTATAACCTCCTCGGGAGCTAGCCGTGGTCCCAGTATAACCTCCTCGGGAGCTAGCCGTGGTCCCAGTATAACCTCCTCGGGAGCTAGCCGTGGTCCCAGTATAACCTCCTCGGGAGCTAGCCGTGGTGCCAGTATAACCTCCTCGGGAGCTAGCTGTGGTGCCAGTATAACCTCCTCGGGAGCTAGCCGTGGTCCTAGTATAATCTCCTCGGGAGCTAGCCGTGGTCCCAGTATCATGTCAATGAGGATCTAGCTGTGGTGCCAGTATAACGTTAATCGTGAGGTAGCTGTGATCCCAGTATATTTGTCTGGTGCTTTCCTTGGTCGAGTAATTTTAGGTTTGGATGGTATTGCCTGGTAGAAGGAAGTCATTCTGTTCATCTTTGTTTGTCTTATTCCACCTTGATCGTGTTAGGAAAAACATGGGTCACCAGACCTCCCTCCCCCCCCGCCCACACACACACCACAGGGATTTCATATTGAACATTGTGCAAATTTGCCACCATCACTACTTTGTCCAGAATGTGTTTTGATTGTGTTGGCAGTTCCAGCATTATAAACATAGTTTTCTAATTAGTCCCATGTGTCATAGCCACTTACAAGACCTCCAATGCAGCCAGGCCACAATAATCGATCTCGTGGTTCACATGGTTTGCTATTCTGTTCTCCTGGTACTGTCAGTCTCCATACAGCTCCATTAATACCTACTGCTTCCTATACATTGAGCTGTGTATGGGAGGCAGGCCACGTTCTGCATGTTCACTGAGCCACTAATTGAATAGTTAGTGTGAATGGATTATGAATGATATCCTGTGGAACATACAAGATCAATGTAGCTTGTGTTACTTAGAAACCAACTACTAATTTTAAGCTACCAGTGTGGTGGTGTCTTTGTAATTTGCAGTGAGCATGTGGAAATCTGATACTTTTATCATATAATGTGGTTGTGGACTATAATTCTGTAATCTGAGATAAACATATCATTGTACCATATCATACCATACCATTATGTGTCGTTTTGCTCAGAAATGCTTCAGACTTGAGAAAGGGAGGTTCTCCCGAAAGCTTGTCATTAAATTATCTTAGTCCAATAAAAAAGGTATTACAAGATACAAATTTTGTGTGTGTGTGTATGTATGTATGTATATATGTGTGTGTATGTATGTATGTATATATATATATATATATATATATATATATATATATATATAATTTTGTATGTATAGAATGATTATATCTTTAATATCATTCTATGTGTATTTTGATATTAATATATTAATATTAAAATACACTTAGACTGTGTGTGTATATATTTAATTTTACACTGTTTTAAACAAATTAATTTTTTTTTTTTTTTCTTCAGGCAGCAGGGGAGTACCTGTCATAACAGGCACTCCCTCTGCTGGCACTGCCTTGGACGGCTATGCCGTCCATGTGATCGCGAGGTCCTTACAAGGACAGCGATCGCCAGCGTGGGATCAGGTAAGTACATAGGACGGCTGGGACATGCTATGCCATCCCCCGGCGTTTAGAGCCAGGTCCTTAAGGATGGCATAGCATGTTTAAAAAACAAAACAAAAAAATTTGGCTCCTAACTTTTTTAGCTGGCTCCTAGATTCCAAACAAATTTGTGAAGCCCCGTCTTACACTTTTCGCCGACAAGCTAACACCGAGTTGGGAATGGTGACCGCTCAAAGCAAACTGCAGCTATAAGGTTATGGTGTACGGAGGTCCCCTGTCTCCCTGCACAGTGTATTATAACTGCAGCTATAAGGTTATGGTGTAAGGAGGCCCCCTGTTTCCCTGCACACACCGTATTATAACTGCAGCTATAAGGTTATGATGTAAGAAGGTCCCCTGTCTCCCTGCACACACCGTATTATAACTGCAGCTATAAGGTTATGATGTAAGGAGGTCCCCTGTCTCCCTCGCACACAGTGTATTATAACTGCAGCTATAAGGTTATGGTTTAAGGAGGCCCCCTGTTTCCCCGCACACAGTGTATTATAACTGCAGCTATAAGGTTATAGTGTACGGAGGTCCCCTGTCTCCCCGCACAGTGTATAACTGCAGTTAGCTATAAGGTTATGATGTAAGGAGGCCCCCTGTCTCCCCGCACACAGTGTATTATAACTGCAGCTATAAGGTTATGGTGTACGGAGGTCCCCTGTCTCCCTGCACAGAGTGTATTCTAACTGCAGCTATAAGGTTATGGTGTACGGAGGTCCCCTGTCTCCCCGCACACAGTGTATTCTAACTGCAGCAATAAGGTTATTGTGTAGGGATCAACCGATATTGATTTTTATTTTTTTTGATAGCCGATACTGATAATCTGTGAACTTTCAGGCCGATAACTTAACGATATTCTGTACATTTACCATTTTGAAAAAATAAACAATTTCTAAAGGTAAATGCGCAACATAATAATGGGCCCGGCGGTCCTGGTATATATTATCGGCAATATCGGTATCTTTATTGGCAGATACCGATTTATTGGTGAAAATACTGAATACTGGCCGATAATTGGTCAATCCCTATTATAGTGTAAGGAGGTCGTCTGTCCCTGTCTTACCACACACCGTTTTTGCTCTGTCAGTATTTATATATTGATTTAAGGTGAACATACTTCACCTCCTATTAGGGATGCGCTGAAATTTGGGCTGCTGAAATTTTCGGCCGAAAATGGGCCTATCCCGTTTCGGACGAAAACTGGTCAAATTTGCAGAAAATTTCAAATAAAAAAATAAACATTTTTGTAGTGCATAGTTTAACAGACATGCTTGCATTAAGAATTCAGATGATTATATATCACAATGAAAGATAGTAATGATAACATGAAAAGTCAAGAATACTGCACTTGGGACAGGGGAGGAGGGGGAAGAACACGATGGGGCAGGGGAGGGGGAGAAGAAAAGAACATGCCAACACTAATAATATTAATAAGAACTGTTGACATTCAGTCACTATTACTGTAGTGAGCAAACCCATGTTTACAACTGAGTTGGGGTTAATCCAGCATCATAACACTACATTCCACTGTACATATAAGGGGTACTCTGGCCTTAATAGTCTTTCACCTGGGTCCTCGCTTGGTGAAATGAACTCATTTGGTACTGAATGACCTAAATCTGGCTTCTGCACAGCCGATCCTCCTCACCATTCATTAAGTTGGTGTCGGCTGGCCACTCTCAGCCAATTAATGCAATCCTGTGCATAGGAATATTGACAGACAATAGGCAGCCCAGGAATGTAGTTCGGCGTTGGCTACCGACGCCCCAATTACACTGCCGCAGTTGAAGTTGCAACCCCGTCAGCGGAGAGGTGAATCTCTGTATGTGTATCGTTTCATAGTAAGACACTGCGCATGCATCGTCCGGGCTCAATGACCACTTCAGATCACCCTTTAAAGAAAGATACGCAGACCGGAACCAAGCATTTGGAGCTGCTGTAGGAAGGGTGTAAATCGAATGACACTAGGAGAGGATATTTTATTAGATGTGTTGTTACTGATGTCTGTAGAACAATGCTAAATCTGTCCCACAAACCTCTCACAACGCTCTCTGCGACACAGAACGCTCTCTCGTATGTAAATTGGATTAGGACCCACTAATTTTTTTTATTTTTTTATTCTTTATTTTTGCGTGCATGAAAATATAACAAGTGGGCTCGTCATGCCCCAACAGCTTGACAAGCATATATAAACAAACACTTAACCATTGGGTTGCATGTAGAATATTCTGCACAATTTTTGTAGAATAGTATTTGAGTAAACTTGTGTACATAGTAAAACAATTGAACTACATACAGTCTCGGTCCAAGGTGTGAGTCCCGGTACTTGGTCATAGGCCTCAGGTTGCGCCAGCCGCTTGTGTGTTCGGTGCGGTCTTCCGAGGGACGAAAGTGGTAGCTGTTGCAGGGTTCCACGTGTGTGTGTGTGTGTGTGTGTGGTCGGTTTAGCCGGGTGAGGTGTGTGGAACTGCAGGGCGGTCTGTGGGAGTCCCAGGGTCCCCAGTAGTGCCGCGGCATCCTGTAGTGTGTGGACGTGATGCAGGCTGTCCCCGTGGATGATCAGCAGGGTCTGCGAAGGGCGCCACCGGTACTGGATATTATGGTCCCGCAGAAGGGTGGTAAGAGGCTGCAGGGATCTCTGCCATTGCAGTGTGTTGCCAGACATATCTGCATAGAAAGATAGATCCAGGTTCTCAAACTTGTAAGTGGGACTCCTTTGTGTAGCGGCCTGGACTGCTGTTTTCTCTCTAACAGATTGAAATTGGACCACCAGGTCCCTGGGTGCTGCGGTCGGCGCCTTCCGTGGTTTGGGTATGCGGAACACTCCTGTGAAGGCCATGTTTTTGGCCTGTCGTGGCGTGAGTAGGGATGCCATCAGTCTCCGTAGGAAATGCGGAATTTCTGCCTCTGGTATGTCCTCTGGTACTCCTCGTAGCTTGAGGTTCTTGCTACGTCTCCTGTCTTCGAGGTCTGTGAAGCGCAGGTCCGTGGCGGCCTGTTGCTTTTTGAGGGCCAGGACCTCTTGTTCGAGGGCCGCGATCTTCTGGGAGTGTGTGTCAGACGAGGCTTCCCCAGCCTGCCCACGAGGCCTGTGAGATCTGCCCGGAGCGAGGCCACGTCCACCTGGATCGTTGTCTTCAGGTCAGTGAGCATCTCCCGCAGGGCTGCCTCTGTCACCGGCGTCGAGTCAGCGCTCCAAGGGGCTGGTTGTGGGTGAGCCGGGGCCGGCGTAGCAGTGTTGCCCAGACTCAGCGAAAAGTCATCTGAGGAGTCTGAGTAGTCAGTGATGTCAGCCGCCATTTTGGGCCCTAGCGCTCTGCGCGCTTGACTGAGCATTTCTCTGATGTTCATTCCCGGCCTGGGTTTGTCGGGTTTCTGCTTCTTAAGCTTTCGTCCCATGTTGGTCAGGGCTATGTTTTGTGGTTTTTTTGGGGGATCCGGATTTATTGCGTTTTGGCCCGGAGTGATGTGCCTACACGTCCGTTCTCTTTCAGTGCGTAGCTCCGCCCCCCCCTCTACCCACTAATATTTTGATGCTTCGTTAGTGGTGGCAAAATAACTATACAGATATAATTTGATTAATTCACTTTTATTTATCTAAACTTTAACGTTTTTAATGTGACTGTCACCGTTATTAAACTGTTATTAAACTGTTCATTCTAGGCTAATTCTGACTGTTATACCAAAATAGCTAAACTGCCTGTTCCTGGTAATTTACACTTTTAGTG